TCCACAAATTGAAGACGGCATTGCTCCTCGCTCCCGTCTTGAGTATCTACGATCCCACCTTTCCTACGAGAGTGACTACGGACGCTTCCGACTACGGTATGGGTGCAGTTTTGGAACAACACGGCGGAGTAGACTGGCATCCGGTTGAGTACTTCAACCAAAAGGTGCCTCCCATCAACTCGGTTGATGATGCGTGGAAGGAGGAGTTGCTCGCGTTTGTTACGGTACTCACGCGTTGACGACACTTCGTCCTCGGGCGTCGTAGGTTCACTTGCGCGACGAATAATAACCCATTGACCTACTACAAGACGCAAGACACAGTGAGCAGCACGATTGCTCGATGGATGTACTTTCATCGATCAGTTCGACTTCACACCGAAACACATTTCGGGCCTCTCCAACCGAGCCGCGGATGCTCTCTCGCGAAGATTAAATCTTTGTGCATTGACTCACCACGCGTTCAGTTTCGACGATGCTGGCTGCTGCTGCCCTAGACCTCCGTAATGCCACCCTCCTTGGCTTCCCTCCACAGCCTCCTTTCCTCTCCTGGGAATAACTCCTGGAAAGTGACCGGTCGACTGAGAGCAGTTTTGCGGGTCACTCTTAGGTCTTCCACTAATCATTCCTCCTCACTACTAACTGCTTCACTCATGAGTTGTAGTGGTGTGTGTTCTAAACTAGAATCCACACTGAATCCTACCTCATCATGAGGCCCAACCGAGTATAATAGTCAACTAATTCGGTCATCCTGGAGAAAAGTAGTCAAGTGGTAACCAGCAATCAATGTCAGGTCAAAAGGTAAGTCTATTTCTATTTTTCAAATTACTCTTAAACCACCAGTACACCCGCACCTAAAATCCCAAACTTACCTGCCCACTGCGCGCCACTATTTTCCAAGCCTTCTGCGTGAGGGTACCTGCAGTGGGAATTTCGAAAGTGGCACTGGTGCCGCCAGTCTGCCTGAACCGGAAAGAAAAGAAAGAAAAGAAAAGAAAGGAACAAACATGCCAGAGAGTGATGATGTCGTGAAAGGACGTCATGGAGGCCATAAGCCAATGATCACTTTCCTGAATGCATCTGACCGCTATTACGGGGAGAGGGAAACGTTGTTGTTTCTCCTTTTTTTCTCGTTTTTTTTTTTTTCCCCCTGGCCCTGCCAGCAAGGCAGCGCATATTCCTCTTGCTCAAAACGCCCTCGCTGAGGGCATATTCACACTAGCCACGTTGAAATGCATCCAACCACTTTCACAGGCAAAGCCTTGTTGGCTTTTTTCTTTTGTTCTTTTTTTTGAGAGTCCGACTGTCCTGCTCCCCTCCCCGTGTTCTACGTTCTGCTGAAGTGCCCTCACTTAGGGCAAACTCGCACGAGTACTCCAAAACGTGTATCCAACTGCAATTACGGCCAAAGGCCTTTTTTTTTTTTTTTTGACAGTCCGACAGTCTTGCTCCCCATGTTCTACGTTCTGCTGAAGTGCCCTCACTGAGTGCAAACTCGCACGAGTACTCCAAAAAGTGTATCCAACTACAATCACGGCCAAAGGGTTTTTTTTGTTGGGACGTACGGATTTGAGACGGGCCCAAAAATTCAAAAACCTTCTGACGCTCCGACCCTGCCCCGAGCCCGCCTTTTACTTCTTGTCGCGACAAGTTATTTTGCTGCAAGGCTGCGGCCGTGTACTGGTGGCTTAAAACAGAATGCAATGCAGCAAGGATTGGTCTATCCTATCTGCAGCTCTTTGTTAGTTGTCACCAAGTCCGTACAACTAAATACTCAAAAATAAAAAATAAAGTACCTGTGGAGATGCATGCTGGATGGCAGTTCATCCAATTAGTACCACAGCGAACAGTCGCCGGGGAGAATCCCCCCTCCCCGTGTATCCCTCTTCAGTAGTCTCTTGTGCCGACGTCCTGAGCATCTGGTTGAGCAGTGTGTCTAAAGGTGTGCAATCCGGCCCACCCCTGTGCCCCAAGTATATGCTAAACCTGCCAGCCCTGCACCTTGTTTACCCTCGCATGCAACGAGCCTTACTTTCGATTGATCTGGCTGATCAAGAGGCAGTTTATGGACAGCCCCCAAGGTCCTCAGGAATTATTTAACGTCACAGACAAGATGATGACCACAGCCAGGGTTCAACCGGAACCCGCCAGAATTGTTTATAGACGGTCTGGTAAGCGTCTCTTAAAGGGCTAGCATGCCCAAGATGACCTCTAATGCACAGCAAGCAGAACCAAGGACTTGCGGTAAAGCATGCGTGTACCCAGCGGGTTGGCATGGTGATCGTGACCCGAGTGGTTCGTCCAGGGCCCTTCACAGGCTTCGCCCGTCTCCCACCAGCTTGCTGCCCACGAAGAATGTCGACTCTCAAGGTTGAGCACTCGCAACACCTCATATTGAGAGGACTCTCAAGACAGAACTCACTTCCTCACGGTAAGAAGTAATGAAGAGGGTAGAAAAGGAAGAGAGCAACGTACCTCATAATGCTGCCCCCAACCACAGATTTCTCACCAGCAACCTGATGTGCATTTATGATGACCGGTCTTTGCCTTGGCACAGCAAACAGCGAAATGCAGTTCCACCTCGGCTTAAATGCCACATCAGCGAGCTCTCTTCATCCAGCGTACATCCCTATGTCACCACATAGCCTTCCCGGCACGCCCACACGACCCTGGGCCGCCTATCGTCCAACGCCCAAGCCTTATCACTGCCCCACACCTCATGCGAAGCACCAAACAGCTGTTGCGAAGAACCAGTAAAGTGCAGTTCAAACCAGCTCTGATACCAAATTGCAAGGAAAATGAGCAATGGCGAGATGACAGAATCCAGATTACATGATCACATTGAAAGCCAGAAAGTCTCAGTGTCCAGAAAGCAGTAATGCACAAATGTTACACCAATGGAGAATCAAAACACTGAAACCAAATGTCAATGAGAGCTTACTCTTGTCATCACCAACATCAGAGTCCAGGCCCTTCCCCCTACTTGGCACTCGGCGCCCAGACTACTCCCCAACACAGCTACTATCTGCCTATGAATTGACAATGCAACTGTTGACGTCGGCAGCCACCGAAGTACATGAAGATGACGCCCAAATGCAGACCATTGCCAATACCAGGTATGAGCCCTCACATCTTCATCTCTCTCTCTCTCTCTCTCTCTCTCTCTCTCTCTCTCTTGTCTGTCCACCTTGTCTTCCCTCTGTACACCTGAAGACCACCCCTGCGCCTTGCTGTCCTCCAAGCCCAGCCAGCTATGGAAGCGGGGCTATGGCGCAGCCCTCGGCAGCGCCCTTCTTCCCACACGGCCGCACGTGCACAGCACCTTGCCCCTAGCGCTAGCAGCAGCACCCGAGCGTTCGCTCCAGCAGAGCAGCCGCAAACTGGCAAGTGCCTGAATGAGCCTCCAGGCAGCGAGCTCTTTCCTATATGGAAAGAGTCTGCCTGGCCTTCGACCTGGCTGGGCTGGGCCTGCGCCCAGAAGCTTCCAGTAGGCCCCATGTTGATGGGCCTCTGCTGATGCTGCTGGGCCTGCTTCAGTTACTCCCCCCAACTGTATGTGTATACTGCTGCGAATCTGGCCCAGGGCCTGCACTTCAGAAATGGCCTAGAAGGCCATGGAAAATCTTTGCTGCTCGGGTCCTGGGTTCCCTCAACCAACTGACGCGACACAACTGCCTGAAACTCCAAATACGAAATTGACAGCATTGGCCTCTCGTGATTTGTTAGGCCCGCCTTCACTTAGGGCGGGCACACTTGCATAATGGGTCCCCTTAGGCCTTCCGAGGAGCCTTATCCTCGCACGTTGACGGTTGCAGCGGGAAAAAACACTCCAAGTTGCGGGGAGTACGCCCGTGACACTTAGGGCAGTGGGGAAAAACACTAAGTCGCAGGTAGGCCGGTACCACTCAAGTAGTGGTACCTCCTCCCTTTCAGAGGGAAACATCATTGCAGGCTCTGACATCGTCCGCACAGGCCCTAGACTCAGGCTACTTGGACTGGTACCCGCCTCCTAGCCTACTGCTACTGGGCCTCTAAAAATGCCAACTTTGTCTTCATCTGCTCGGCCTCCAGTCCCCGATACATCTACAGGTTGCTTGGAGGCCGCGCAGCCTGGAAGTTCCCGCCCAAGAGGCAAGTGGGTCGCTGTATCTCCAGGAGCGAGTAGCTCCTCATTTGCTGTATGCAAGTTTGGGCGCCGTGTTGCTTGAGCGAGCGCTGGCTCTCAGAGCGCTGCCAGGGAGGAAGGAGGAGCGCTGGGCGTTCAGCCAGGCTATGCCGAGCAGCCCAGCTTGAGGAGGAAGAAGGGGGCAAAGGAGGAGACTGGCAAGGTACCTACCTGGCTATGATGGAGACCATCTTGATCACCTTGTTAGGCGCTGCATCTGGAAGGCCCCAGTTGGGGTAGTTCTGCAGGGTAGTGCCACGGGGTAGTGCCCCTTCAAGGGAGAGTCGGGCATGGCAGCCTGAAGATCAGCGGCCATAGCTGCTTTCTGATGTCTTTTGCACAGGAGGGCGAAGTCCTTAGTAGTCCGCCATAGCCTTGGCATGTGAGAGGAAGGTGAAGAGGGAAGTCATGGCTATGGTGGACCTATTGTTAAGCTGGCAGTAAGAGGGAACTTCGGATATCGATTCGGGTTCAACCACTCATTGTTATTATTATTATTTGGGAAAAGAATAAGATTGGTGGAGACAAGAGGGAGAGGAGAGTGGAGTCGGTGGTCTTGCCGGTGTACATCTTCTTCTCTTTCTTCTTCTTCCCTCTTCTTTGGACTCCATCTCTTCACAAGTGCTTTCATTCTTTCGCAATTGGGTGGCATTGTCTTTCCTTGTGAATTTGCACTTCGGAAATAGCCAGGATCGTAACATTCTCTACCATTCTCATGGATCCCTGCTATCAATGAAACAGTCGGAAGTTGTGTAGCACATTGCCATTCTTTTCAACAAGAGGAACTAAAAAGCAAGAACGAGTGCATAGTGGCCAGCTTGAGAGAGCACATGCAGACCTTGCAGTCCGTTAGATCCGGTATCACATACGTTGGCATTTTCTCCTCCATCAACCTATAAGCTCCTGCAGAAGAAGGAAGCAGCGACATAAATGATAAATACACATCAACATACAAAAAATGTTTCTGGATGTCACTGTCGTACAGACTGGTTGATTCACACTGAATAGGATTGAACAAGATTGAACTGGGATGGACTGAGAGAGGAGGCTGAGGAGGAGGGAGGCAGGGATGAAAATGGCTTGCGTGGTGTTTGATTGAGCTGCCCTGGATTGGATGGATTGGATGGGATGGAAAGATGGCCGACAGATGCGATGATGGACAGATGGGTAGATGATGGATGGACGGATGGACAGATGCACACATGGACAGTTGGATGAATGGATTGACGGATGGGTGGATAGCCTGAGTGTTTGGCTGACTTGTTCATCACACAACCATACAAATCAATATACAGTATGCATTGAAATGATTTCGCCCAATTTGAAGCAAGTTGTCAACCCATGCAAGCTCACAATTCATCACACCAAGCTCAGACACACAAGACACAAGATGAACACCATATGAGCATTCATTATTGAAAAATTAAAAAACAGTGAAGACGTTCCGACTTCATTACAGGTGGCAGCTATGGCTTCCCTTTCGCAGGTAAGCAGTTCTCCTCTCTCTCTCTCTCTCTGTCTCTCTCTCTCTCTCTCTCCCCCCAAAGCCCTAGCTATTGCACTATGCGCCATTGACCACCCTGCGGCCTGCAGCCAAGTTGCACTCAAAGTTGGTCGCACAAGGAAACAGCAGCACTTCCCCAACTATTCAACTGAAAAAGTGTGGCCGTTCACTGTAACTTATTCCTAGTGTTGTACCATCTGTCATGTGTTGGGTTCCTGATATTGGAACCGGACAATACGGCTACAAAACAAAAAGCGAAACAGAAACACCCCTCCGCTCCCTCCCCCCAAAAAAACAAACACATACAGAGGCACAACTCGGCCCTTGGCACGGCCAGGTGGTACCATGTGTGCTGAGCAGTATTACGTGGGCTAGGTGATACTATGTGTGTGTGTGTGTGTGGGGGGGGGGGGGGGGGGGGGGGGGGGGGGGGGGGGGGGGGGGGGGGGGGGCGCCAGGGGGAGCACCATGTGGAGTAGGCAGCGCCATGCGGGGCAGGTCATAGCATGTGACTTGATGGGACAGGCACACAATGCAGGTCAGGTGGCAGTTTCTCTCTCCAGCGCAACAATGTTATGTAGGGTGCAGTGCCATGGGAGCAGGGAGTGCAGGACTGCCACGGAGGGATCCCTCTCCATAAAGAAACAGTCAAATAAAAAGGGGGAACTCGGAAACTTTTCATACTTTCTATCTCCAGTGCAGCAGTGTCCTGTTGCGTGCTGTTCCATGGGACCAAGGGGGGTAGGACCACCACGAACTTCACACACACACACATACACACACACACACACACACACACACACACACATACAGGTACCATGCAGGTGTGATGTAGGTTGGGTGGCACCATGTGGACTTCGTGACACCATACAGAGCAGGTCATTCTATGTGGACTGGATGGTACAAAGAGAGCCACCAAAAAAACAAAAAGAAAACACGACCCCCTCAGTCTGATTCCATTGCACTTCCAACTTATGACCTGTTCTTTGATTTGAGTCGAGTACATGGAATGGGACACTGCTGCCACTGCACCCATTTCCCAGCCAAGCCGAAGATGAGTAATGGCCTCGGTATTTCTTTTCATTCCGTGTAGAACTGTGAGGTCCCCTGCTTCTGTTTGGATATTGAGCAATACAAACCTCCTAAGCTCTCCAAAATGAAAAAAGGAGTTATTAAAAAAAAAAAACTATGACCTGTTTACTAAGAAATTAGTAAGAATGGGGTTTGTGCATCTCATGCACAGTTCAGGTGTGTATTCGAGAAAGGGTGTGCGTTGTTTTGAATATAGACTGAGGGCCAGCAGAATTCCGCACAGGTCCTCCGCATGGTCCTCAATTGCTGTGTCACGACCAAACAAAGTCCTTGCACAAACCGACATGCCACCGTCCATCTCCGCGCCGCAACAAAAAAGCAGACCTCACACAAACTGACACGCCACCCAGGGAACCTCTGCACGGCCCTCTTGCCATGGCAAAAAAAAAAACTGCACGGACCGATGCTCCACCCCAGGGAACCTACACACAGACCTCGAGCTCCGCACCGTGGGAAAAAAAAACACCCTTGCACAAGCCGGCACACAGCCCAAAAAAAAAAAAACTTGCACAAACTGGCGTGCCACCCCAGGGCCCTAGATCCCCGCGCCACAGCGAAGAAAAAAACTCACACGAAGTGACACGCTGCCCCAGGAAACCTAAGTGCAGCCCACTATCCCCACGCCACACAAAAACAAAAAACTCAGCGCGCCACCCAAGGAACCTCCGTGCGGCCCTTGATCCTTGCGCCGCGACAAACGAAAAAACTCGTACGAACGGTGTGTGGTGGGTGTGGTGGGTGTGGTAGGTGTGGTCAATCAAAACGATCTGGGCATGCCAGTTCGTACGAGTCCCACCACACCCACCACACACCCGGGTCTTGCGTGTGCCCATGATGTGAGAACCGGGTTGTACTTGGTCTTTAGTGTGATAGAGAAGATAGAGATAGAAGCAGAGATAGAATGAACAGTGGCACAGCTGCAGTGTCTTTCACAGCTTTTATAGTATCTGGAACTATGTGGTATGGTTCTGCAGCTACTCCTAATGAATTATTTGGTGCTACTAGATCCCAACGGGCTCAATGTAACGAGCGCGGGGCTGAGGGAGAGCCGATGGAGAGGAGAGATAGAGGGAGAGAGTGAGAGCACACACACACACACACACACACTCGACACAACTGAGGGTTGGACGCAGACACAGTGGCAAGGGCACAAAGTCGAAGTCTTGGATTCCCGCATGCCGAAACAGCAAGTCACACTGAGTACGAGTACAGCAGCTGGAAACTGGTACCAGACTGGTCCCCGTACTGTACGGGGAGCCGGTATAAGTACCGATGACACGTACGGTACCAGGGGCATTTCCGCAAAAGCCCCGAGGGCAGAACTGAAAAATGCGGTATTTGAAAGTGGCGCCCGAATTGCAGCATGGCGCCAGTTGTCCAAAATCCGACGGTACCAAAAGAGGAGTTTGGAAAAAGGGTGCCAGGCAGGGCTGGTCCCCGGATGGACCGGGGACCCCTACCCCATCCGCGGTCCTTCCGGTTGGACCGGCCGGTGGCCCGGGCCGGTTCCCTCCCGGTTGCCCTCAGCGCATTTTCGCTGGGGGCTGAATCTTTTTTTTGTCGGCGCGTATGTGTTCCCAAGGCCTCGTGGGGGCGGGCCCTGCCCCGCAATTTCGAAACCAGGTCCTGTAGGCCCGGATTTTTCAAGTACAGAAAGTGGCCAATCTTGGCCGCCGATCGTCGCAAATCAGCGGCAAAGATCAGCCAGGACCCCATTTCTATAAGAAAAGCGGGCAGAGGATATCCGCCGCTGATCTGTGCAGATCAGCAGCGGAGACCAGTCATGCGTTTTTCCTAAGATGTGGGTCGGGTAGGCCCCTAATCCAATTTGTCATCTTGTGGTCCAATGGACCAGTTACCATTGGCAACATCTGATGCTCTTTCACCCTCAGCCACGAGGGGAACACTATGCTTCTGATAAGACTCTGCTGAGATTATATCCTTCTGCGACGTCCCTGCCATCTGTGGAAAAAGTTATGGGTTCGGATTTTGGAATTGTGATTTCAGAGCCGTCCGAGGTGCAATCCGAAGAATGGACCTAAAATATAGGGCGTTGCTGCACTACTCTCGACATGCACAAAAGACAAAAATCTTGGCGGTGTATCTTTCCGAATTCTAGTGGAAGATTCACTCTCGTTTTGCACATTTCGAGAGTAGTGCAGCGAGGCCCATATTCTTCTCTCTATCTATTCTGCTGTCGAAATATAGTCTGGAAGAGCTATAATTTTGCGCAAGGACCTCCTCTCATCATATCTGGCTCAGCTCGTGGGGTATCAATATCAAATGATATACTCCACGAAGTGCTCCAGCGACGGGGGGGTCGGATAAGTGAACTTGCTTACTTGACCCCTCCCTGAGGAAGCCGTAGTTGCCTGAATATGTCAATGATAACCSCCTGCCCCCCTCTGGAAGCCCCCTGAAAAATGTTGTACCTTAAAAATTTTACTGCGGATTCGGACAGCTCTTGAAGAGCGCAGTCGGAATCTGCCCAAAAAAAAAAAAAAAAAAAAGATATTTGGGCACTTTTTTTTCAAAACCAAACCGGTTTCCCGGTTCACCCCCCCCTGGTCTGGTCCGGCTCCGGTTGGACCGGGGTAGCTCAACCGGCCGGTTGCCGGCCAAGCACTGGTGCCAGGCCGAAAACGGGATGCAGCAGAAACAGCAAAAAGATAGACCAGGGATCGAGCCGTGGTGGAGTCCGTAACAATCAAGGCTATTTTCAACAAGAAATTGATAGACGCATACAGTTTAAGTACATATCAAGGTCTTAGTATTTATGCATTCTTTTGCCACCAGCATTTTGTTTTTGCCATGAACAAAACTCCGTTTCTTTTTCTTCCCGACAAGACCAGCACTCAATCTATGTTCCCTTCTTTCCTGGTGGCCTAATGGCACAGCCATGAACTGTTGATAAACAGGCCTGTGTTCGAGTCCTGCTAAGAGCAGATGAACAAAATACCTCTGAATTACCTGTGGGAGGTCAGTATTATGACGATACCTCAAGCTCATCACCCTTTGAATCGTACACCCATGTAACTGTTGATCTGCAGACTTGAGTTCGATGAAAAGAAACGAGAGGAATGACTCTGAATTACCTGGGGCCAGTCAGTTCAAGGATGACACCTCAAGACCGTCGCCATTTATGGGGAAAGTCTTTTTGCAAAGAACGACCCTCAAAAGCATCATCTGTTAATGTACGACATAAATCAGGATGGCTGGAAAAATACATGCCAATCACCAAAAAAAAAAACTACAGTCAGCCTAAATCGAGAACACTTCCAACTGATAATGCTGTACTGTCCAAATGCACTTCAACACAGGACAACTCGATGTCGGGAGGAATCTTGGGCACAGTGCGTCCTCCAGTTCTACGTCTCCTGGGCAGGAGACCAAGTTTTGCTCCTCCACCCGCAGAACAGCCTGAAGCTCTCTTTCTTTCACCGTCCTTTTGGTGGCCAGGATGCGAGATGCCTTCGCCGTGGCGTTGGAGAGGCCGCCTACCAGCTGTGGAAACCTGGTAGTTTGTGTCCTGTGTGCCTCACAGACGTTGAGGATGTTCTCTTTCATGATTCGTGTCTCCTGCAGTGAACTGTTAACCTTGAAGTAGTCTGGTCCGTGCTTCAGCACTGTGTCCAATGCGATGCTGATGTGTATAAATTTGTGATCAAGCCCTGGGGTATAAGGTAGAGGTCTATGCGTGATGCTGAAACGTTCTAGCTACGGTTACGTTGGTAAGTAAAGATTTGTCTGTTGATTGGGAGATCCGCAGGGGTCGACAGCTAGCACCAACAACCGCTTCCATATCGATCAAACGGGCTTCATTCCATCGCGCTTCTTCCTCAATAACGTCATAACGTTGTCGGAGTATGCTTGCTACATTATGAAACTTCAAGAAGGCATAAGGCCAGGCCAATTGGAACTTCCAACAGCAATGCATGGAAAAAATGGGAGTCGGACCCAACTTCCGAAGATGGGTACAGGTCCTGTACAACCACGCCCACGGATAAGCGCAAGTCAACGGATTCCTGTCACCACCGTACAGGATGTCCCGATTGGTCAGACAAGGAGACCGGTTGGCGGCCCCACTTCCTGTTCACAATGGAAGCAGTAGTATCTTTTCTGTGCAAAGATCCGTCTATCAACAGGCTGATAGCGGAACCTGCCCTACCCTTCCACGAAGTCCTTCTGTAAGCCACTCTCCTCTTCGCAAACAATCGCACGGCGCAGATAAAGCCTCCAGCACCTCCTCCTTCGAGGCGTTGACGAGAGCCATAAAGCCTTCCAGCTGGCCTCCGAAATAAGGGTCAACTGGCAGAAAACGATGGGATAGTGGATATCAGACACACCACAACCCCCGGCGGAAATCACACCGGCAGGGTCTATATGGCAGGATCCAAAGACTCCACTTCGCTACCTAGGCAACAAACTCACCAATGCAGCACACCACGCAATGGCTCCAGAAATCCTCACCAAGACGCTACGAAAGCCGGGCACATTATCCAGCAAATATACACCCGTCTTCAGCCGGGTGTTGGTGCTGAACGCCTCTATCTTCTCCATGCTCTGGTACACGGCCTCCTTTTGGACACCAACGATGCAGACGGCCGGCACCCTCAAGAAACTAGCAACTGCGCACCTGTGGACAGGCAACCCCTCAAGAACTAACCATATAGCCAAGGTGGCGTGCATCCACCTCAAGTAAAGGCACTGCACACCAAGTCGGGGATCAAACTGCTCACCCAGGTGAACCTACCCTGAGTCACTCTGGCCCTGCACCGGATTTAGTCAACTACCAATAGCCAGCACACACCCCAACATGCAAGGCCTTTTCTGTCTAATGGCCACGTCCTGGTCAATCCGGCATAGGACACCCCGACAGCAGGACCACCAACAGCAGGAGCTTCAACAGCAGCAAGAGCTAAGAAACTGCTCAGACTAAATGACCCACAAGGAATTCACACTTCAGAGCCACATGAGATGTTCCAGGATTATGTCAGTTCTAATCTCTGTTGTCCTTGCATTTTCGTTTTACTGACAGATTCCCACAGACGGATCTGAGAGGGGACTAAAGGAAAGGGAAGCCGACAGTCAATCCTCCAATTCAGTGGAGTAATCAACGCTGATCAGGGACCCTTCGGCCAGACGGAAGGGGGCATGTGTGTGCAATGATGTAATTCTGCTATTTTGACTTGCCGGGGGAATAGGAACCGGACTGAGGCTCCCCAGAATGGATATGGAGCCAGGGACCATAAGGACCTGTCTAAAAAAAAAAGAAAAAGAAAAAAAGAAAAAAAAAAAAAAAAAAAGAAACTGCTCAGAGTACCGGACGTACCTGATCAAGATATGGAGGGAGATTCACCCGGCGAAGGTGTGTGAGCCAGCAAACAGGGAAGAAGTGTTACGCCAGCCTCTATTCTGTAACCAATGGTTGAAGGACCAGGCGGATCAACCCTGAACACTCACGACACAGGACAGCAGATGGATCACCTGGCTGAAGCACCAAACCTCTAGAACCAAGAGCACAACAGATGGAAGATGCACACAGAGCTGAGGGAGACACTCGAGGGTTGCCACAACCCGCAGACGAACCGATCAGTCCCACAAGACTGGCTGGAATTGCTGCAGCGACCGAGCAAATTGAAGAGCGGAGACTGGGCAACTTGGACTTGGGAGAACACTCCGACTGAGGTGATGTCATTTGTCAAAAAAGTGGGTCCATCCGACCAGTCGACACTGTGGACCATGCACGATATAGAGAAACCGGGCCACAGTTAGTGCAGTTGCCAAGGTCATTTGGGTTAGGGTTTTAGCCAAAACCCATCTCCTCCGAAGAGTCCGAGTGATCGAGGACGAAGACTACAGAATCTACAACACCACGACGAGCATACGGGATCTGGAGTTCGACCTGGCAGAGTGGGCTTGGAAAACAACCACTGCCACAACAAGAGTGGCGAGCTGGACCAGCATCTTGGACTACAATACCAGATTGGGCTCCAGACTGAGAAGAAGGTCAGTCAACACGCAGCAAATCCTCACGCAACGGTGGGACAAGCACCTCGCCAGGGGTTTGCAAAACCGCACTAACATATCCTGGCGAGTGCCATTGTCCATCCGGAACACAAGGGTGAGAAGCCTGAAGTGGCTGATTTATTACTACTCGCCGGTCAGCCAGTGGCTCAGCAAACATAGATCCCCAGCCGCTCGAACGGACTTCGACAAAATCTGCACCCACTGCGAGGATGGCAGTCCAGAAGACCTTCCATTGCTTACTCACTTGCCAGCAGGCAGCCAACTCTGGGGCAGATCGACAAACCTGTGGGAAGCAGTCACAACCACCCCCCTGCCAGACAACCCAGTGCCCACACTCACCGGCCTCAAAGAATCATGCCTGCAGGAGAAGTGGCAACACACACTATCGAAGACTCCGCCCACTGACACAGTGGGCAATTCGGAAGAAGCGCTGCAAGCAGACAATTGCTGGGCAAACGATGCATGGGATGGGCTGGTGCAGACCCTAATCACAGGGTACCTGTTACATGCACAGATATGCAATGTACGTAATGACCGAGGAACTGCAGTGTGATGAAAAGGACTGAATGGACAATACAGTGCCGACAGGGGGCCTGTAAGCCCTGGATTTCAGGCTTTCGGCCTGAAATTCAGGCTTTCGGCCTGAAGTTCAGGCTTTTGGCCTGAACACCGTCGGGCCTGCAAAATGGCCGTCGGGCCTGCAAAATGGCCCGTGTGTGCACGCGCTGCATGTAACACCCCCCCCCTCCTTGTGAAGTCAAGCCGGGGCGAGGGCGAAGCCGTCGATCTGAAGGTGGAACCTGGACGCGGCCGCGGCGTGGAGCCGAAGAAACCGGCTTGCCTTGCATCTTGCGTTCGTAGCGTGCGAGAACGTCTGGAGTTGTCGCTTGCAGTTCCGCACGGGTTAACCAACCGTCAGCTTGATGTGTGCAATAGGCAAAATGCCCCAAATACTCAGTTGGCTTGTTGCCAAAGCGTCGCTGGGAGATGATGTCGCCGACCTCCTGAAAACCATCCATAGAAGGTGGGTCTTGCGTACGTCTCCCGGGAAAGTCGTCCTGATCCGCTGGCGTGTAGAGAGCCAGTTTGGAGCAATGAAAGACAGGGTAGACAGGCAAGTGGCTAGGCACCTGAATCGTGAAGGAGGGTCCTTCTGGTGCGTCCCCAGCGGGCTCTATGATCGGCCAAGGCCCCATCCATTTCGGGAGGAGCTTGCGAGAGACGTCTTGTTCAAGGCTGAATCCCGCTGCTGAAACCCAGATGAGGTCCCCGGTGCGGAATGGACAAGGAAGACACTGGCGATTTGCCTGTTGGCTCATGCGCTGCTGCGTCTTAGCCATCTGGTCGCGTGCCTTGACAAGAAGCTCTTGCATCCGACGCAAGAAAAGAAGATGGTCGTCGCTCTCGGCCGTGCGTGGAGTAATTGTGTCCAACGGTGACGTGACCGACGAGCCGTGCTCGAACTTGAAGGGCGATATCCCAAAAGTCGGGTGGATGGAAGAGTTGTAGGCCAACTCAACGTCCGGCAGTCGCTCAACCCAGTCTTTCTGGCCGGGGCGGATGCGAGTGCGAAGGAGAACCTGTGCCGTTTGATGCGCCCTCTCCGTTTGGCCATCGGTCTAAGGGTGGCGAGCTGAACTGGGCTTGAGAGATGAGCCCCATCGCTTGATGAGCGCCAACCAAAAATCGGACATGAACCGAGTGTCGCGGTCGCAGACGATCCCCTTGGGGTAACCCTTGGTGCGAATCCAACCGGCGTACAGAACCTCGGCCAACTCCGGTGCCTTGGCATGATAGCGACAAGGCAGAA